CGAGTGCTGGGATTCCAAGCACTCACACCACCTCACCTGGCATTTCCTTGTTTATCTGGGCACCTACCTGAGTTCAGCTTCTCCTTTTCTGTTTTTGTTTTCTTCCTCACAGTCTCTCCACACTTGACCACAGTCTGGCAGAAAGGCTCCTCTATACTTACCCGTTGATTGGATGAATGAAGTTGGGGAGGCTGTGCTTTGGGTGCAGTGGGAAAAGCAGACTAAGGAAGAGGGCCCCACAGTGGAGGTGGAGGGGGAGACAGGACAGGCACTTAGCCACCTGAGCACCGGAGGGGGCCGGGGAGATGGCTCAGTGGAATAAGTGCTTCACTGGCAAGCACAAGGGCCCGAGTTCAATCCTCAGTTCTGCCAAAAAAAAGATCACTGAGCACCAGAGGGAGGTGGCACTGGAGCTGCGATCTGATGGTTGGAACTTCTGGGTTCACTTTGGGGGCGTGGCCATTGGGGTGCAGAGAGCCGTGCTGGTGGTGGAATCTGTAGGCTTCCGAATTAGCTGGTTCAAAGGCCCTGCGGAAGGAGGCACCACAGCACCTGCCAGGGGGTTGGGTTGGCCAGGCCAAGGTGAAGCGGGGAGGTTGGGCTCGGAAGGCAAGTAGGAGCCAGGCCACCCCTCCCTGGGGGACTGGACTTGGGAGCAGCAGGAGGAGGTGGGCTGAAAAGGGGGTAGGAGCAGAGTGGGCAGCAGGCAGGAGTTCCCACGCAGGAGCAGTCAGCAGGAGCTGCAGGGCTGGGCTGAGGTGTGCAGAGCATCACGGAGTCCTTGGCGGTGGCTTCCAGCTTGTGAATAGAAGGCGGATGGTGGGGCATCAGGTGTGACAGTCACGGAGAGCCCTGCCGGCGTGAAGGGACTGGGGGCCCTTTGGGGCAAAGCAGAGCTCTTGAGGGAGGATTGTGGCTCTGTAGAGTGCTCTCAGTTTCTTCGTATCAGAAGCCAGCGGACTCAGGAGTGCATCTACTCCCTCCAGGGCTGGGGCTGGGGCTGGCGACGTTGGTGGTACAGAGCACCAGTTGTTTGGGCCACCGTGGTGTGGACCTGAGTATTCTCCATGTGGCAGTACCTGTGCTCTCTGTGTTCCGTCCGCTGGAGGTGGGCGACACAGCTGAGCTGTGCTCATCCTCACCCGTGAGCTCGGGCTTTGGGACATCAGAAAAACAGTTCCTGCCTCTGAGCCTCACTGGTGACAACAGGGGTCCTGGATTAATTATTAGTTCTGCTTGTGAGCCAGACACTGGGATAGGGACTTTACATCCATTCCTTGTGTTCATTTAACATTGCAGCTGGTCTTTTTTCCTTTTTCTTCCTTCTTCTCTGGTATTGCTGTGTAGCCCAGGTTGGCCCCAGACTTGCACTGATCCTCCTACCTCAGCCTCCTGAGTACTGGGATCACAGGTATATGCCACTGTGCCCAGCTGCCGCTTCTCCTCCTCCTCCTCTTCTTCTTCCTCTTCCTCTTCCTCCTCCTCCTCTTCCCCTCCCCCTCCCCCTCCTTTCTTTTTCTTGACAGGGCCTTGCTGTGCAGCTTAGGCTGGTCTTGAGCTCAGATTGTAGTCTGGTCTCAAACTCACAACAGTCCTCCTGCCTCAGCTTCCCCAGCACGGAGATTACAGGCATGCACTACCACACCTGGTTTTGGTGGCCAGCTTGAGGTCCGGGCTGGCACAGCATGCTGTTCCAGGGATCAAACCCGGGTCCTTGCACTTGCTCAGGCAGCTTAGACTGCTGAGCTGTCTCCCCAGCACTTCCTGGCTTCTTTAACAAGGTAGTTGGGATTGAACCGAGGGCCTGCACACTGAACTATATCCTTAGCCCTTTCTATTTTGCTAAATTGCCCAGGCTGGGCTCAAACTTGTGATGGTCCTGCCTCAGCCTCCCAGCTGCATCTTCACACCTGAATAGTATTTTTTGAAGATGGGGAAACTGAGGCTTAGAGAGGCAGTCAGTGAGTGGTGGAACTGGCACTGGAAGCTGCTCTGTCTTGTCACCAGAGCCCTGCACTTGCCAGAGCTCTACATTCTTCTGAGGTCCCCACCAGGTCACTTCCTTCACCTCTGCAGGAGTCCTGGCTCATCCCATCTTTTTGTTGTTGTTGGTTTTTTGAGATAGGCTCAGGCTGGGGAGAGAGCTCAGCAGCATACGTGCCTGCCTGAGATAGGCTCTCAGTGTGTAGCCCAGGCTGGCCTTGAATTCCTAGCCATCTTCCTGCCTCAGCCTCCCAAGTGCTGGGATTACAGGCATGTACCAGCATGCTCTGCTCATTCCATCTTTTTTTTTTTTTTTTTTGGTGGAACCAGGGATTGAACTCAGGCCCTTGCGCTTGCCAGGGAAGCGCTTATTCCACTGAGCCATCTCCCAGGCCCTTGCTCATTCCATCTTCAAAGAGGGTACCTGTGGCTTGGACTCATGAGCATCTGCAGAGCCTGCAGGGTGCTGGTCTTGGGGTCACTTATGTGTCACACACATCCCTTAGGTTGTGTACAACGTGGGACTCTGCATCTGCCTGTTCGACATCACCAGGCTAGAGGACTCCTATGTGTTTCCAGGGGATGGTGCGTCCCACACCAAAGGTGGGCCAGGTGCCTTCTTTTCCCCAGGGCATGGGGTTCCATTCAGAGTGGTGGGAGTCCTCATGGGGGATGGAGAACTGAGGGTCCCCTCCTGACACTGAAGGAGTTGGCGGGGGATGGCTAGCAGACCCACACTCTCTAGGCCTCGGTTTCCCCATGTGAGACACAGTGAGGCTGGGATGGGGTGGACCTGGTGACCCCCACGGTCTCTACTGCTCTGAGATGGGCTACACCAGTGCCTCTTTGGGTCCGTCTACCTCCAAGCCTAGCACTCAGCACAGCCCTGCGGCTGTCCTGGGCTGGAGTCGGGGACAGGCTGAGTGGGTGGCTGCCCCGGGGAGCAGTAGCATGCGGGCCAGCCCAGTGCTGGAGCACAGCATCCAGACCCGTACTCTGCCACCTGCTAGCTGTGTGCCCTGAATGGAATACACAACCTCTCTGGTCCTCTGATTCTTCGTCCATTAAATGCAGTTAACTGTGTAGTTTCTGCACCCAGGAGGCTAAGGTGGGAGGACAACCATGAGTTCGAGGCTGGCAAACAGAAGCTCACTGGCTTGCCCGTGCTGGGCTTGAACTCATGCGCTCCTGCTGCCTCAGCCTCCCCGTGCTGGGATTACAGGCGTGCACCCCCGGGCCCAGCGCTTTTTTTTTTTTTTTTTTTTTTTTTTTGTGAAACTGGGGATTGAACTCAGGTCCTTGCGCCTGCGTGGTACTGGGTGATTCATCCGCAGTCCCTGTGCTTTGCTAAGCTTGTTCTAAGTAGGTGCTTTAGACCACTGAGCCATCTCACCAGCCCCCCCAGCGCTTTTTATGCTGTTGTTGAATTGGGACATTCACATGCCACGGGACTCACCCTGTGAAAGCAGACAGCTTGGGTTTTTAGTCCGTGCAGAGCTGTTCACCCTCGCCACCATGCCTTCCTTACCCATACAAGAAGCCCTCTTCAGTCTTCTGCCCATCAGCAGTCTTCTCCACCCAGCTCCTGCTTCCTGTCCTGTGTGCCTGCCTGTTCTAGATGTTTCCTAAAAGCATAACCATATGTCCAGCTTCCGGCCCATCACAGCCTCCAGGTCTGAAGGTTCATCTATGTGCCAAGTGTCAGGATCCTCTTCCATCTTGTTTGTTGGTGGTGCTGGGGGTGGAACCCAGGGCCTCACATGCTAAGCAAGTCCTTTGTGCTGAACCCCATCCCTGTCCCTCCCTTTTGTTTTTCCTTTTCCTTTTCGTGTGTGTGTGTGTGTGTGTGTGTGTTTTACTGGGGATCAAACTTAGGACTTTGTGCTTGTCAGGCAGGTACTGAGCCGCTAAGCCATATCCTTGGCCCTATACCTCCCTTTCAAGGCCGACTAATATTCCATCATGTAAACACACAGTGGTTTCTCTCTCCATCCCTTGGTGGACATGCAGTGCCCATCACTTGCTTTTGTACATGGTTTCAGAGGGAGCTCCCTGTCACCGAACTCTAAGCCAAGTGCCCAAGCCAGGCCTGGGACTAACCTCTTGAGGTTCTTTTTCGGATTTGTGAGACCTCGCTGACGCTGGGTCACATGGGGGATGGGTTCTTCCACCCGTTGGTTCCTGTTGGGTCTCCCTGGAAGGCAAGTGCGAGGCTCGAGGCTTTCAGCTGGCTCGTTCTCACAGTCGCTGCCTCTACTCCCCCTTGCTTCCCCCGCCTCACTTGGACACAAGGAAATAGGTGGCATCAGCTGGAAGGGGTCGCGCTGCAGCCAGGGTAGGATACTGGCCAACGGAAGCCTGTGAGGGGTGACCCTGTCCCAGTGAGGTGGGACTCCACCTGGTAGCCTTGTTTAGGGAAGGCCTTGGGAGTCTCCTGGGCACATTGGGCCAGCATGGCTGTGTCACTCAGCCTTTCCAAGCGGCTCCCCCTTTCACGGTGACATCCAGGACAGGTGGATCCTTGGTTACTGTCCGCAGCTTTTGCAGGGGTGAGTGACCAGGCAATGATGTGGCTTCTCTGGGGACCAGGGCAGAATCTGATGTGGGCACTGCCCTCGGTGCTTTCCTTCAGGTCAGATGAAAGGGATCACCCTGCCAGGGCCTGAGCAATCCACAGAGGTGACTGCCACGCAGCCAGCCTCACACATACACGCCCTGTTGCTAGGCTGTCTTAGCCCTGGGCTCCAGTGAGCACACGACAGAAACTCGTTTCCACTCCAGATTCCTTTGCCTCCTGCTGCTGCCCTCTTAAGAGTATGAAGGGGCTCCTGGGGCCAGCGTGGCATCCACTTGGGCTCATCCAGGGACTGGGAGCCAGTCCTCAGGCCTAGGCAGGGTGGAGGGCGCAGGGCCTCCTATCATGTCAGATTCTGCCCTGGCCCCCAAGGAAGCCATGTCATTGCCTGGTCACTCACCCCTGCAGAAGCTGCAGACAGTAACCAAGGATCCACCTGTCCTGGATGTCACCGTGAGAGGGGGAGCCGCTTGGAGAGGCTGCCTCGACTTCCTCCACCCTGCTGTTCATGGTGAGGGCCTGCTACTCATGGTGTATGCTTCCTTCCAGTCCACTTCCGCTACGTGGTGTTCCACCCATTCCTGGATGAGATTCTCATCGGGAAGATCAAGGGCTGCAGCCCAGAGGGGGTGCACGGTAAGCAGCCCCCTGCCCTGGCCAGGAGGGACCAGAGGGCTTGGTCCTACTCATGGGCTTAGCCTCCAGGGCCCAGGAGGGAACAAGGGAGTTTCTTGGCCATCAGCTTCGTGGTGAGGCGGTCACTCAGCTCCTCAAGTGGCTGCTGGGGCTGATGGAGTGGGCTGGGGTGTCTGATGTGCCTGAGGTTTGGAGGGGCCAAGCCTGGGGTTTTCCAGGGCTGCTTAGAACTGGGTAAGCGCAGCTTGGGACTCGAGGCAGGAAGGCCAGGTTCCCACAATGCCATCTGTCCCATGGCAGCATGTGCCATGCTGTCACCTTCTCCTCTTCCAGTCTCCCTAGGGTTCTTCGATGACATTCTTATCCCCCCGGAGTCCTTGCAGCAACCAGCTAAGTTGTATCCTTCCAAGGGCAGAGTCCAGAGTTTCTGGGGCCTCTTTAGGGGCCGGTCCTCACCCCTGCAGTGGCTCTTAGGTCCTCTGACAGCCTGACGCTTCTGGCCTCTATTCCTGCCCCTCGGTATTTGGGCCTCTGCTCACGCAGACCCTGGTGTCCTGGCTCCTGTACCAGTCTGGGCAACAGAGCTGAGCACTGTGTACATTAGGGTCGGGGCACCAGTCACTTCTGGCTCACTTTGCTAAGGTTGTCACCCACCGTGCTGTTAGCTCTGAGGATGACCTGCGCTGGGCTGGGCTGGGCTTCCCCTCCCCCTGCCGGGCCATGACTGCCCTGTCCCTGCCCTCCTCACTATGTGAATCATCTCTTTCAATGGGACTGTCTCTAACACAAGACTTTATTGGGGCTGGGGAGATAGCTCAGTAGAATAAGCACTTGCCTGGCAAGTGTGAGGTTCTGAGTTCAATCCCCAGCACTGCAAAAAAAAAAGAAAAAAAAAAAAAAAAAAAAAACACTTTATGACTGTACCCAGTGCTCAGCGGGGCGCTGTGGCAGGGCTGCCACTAGATGGCAGTGTGGCTCCGGCAAGCAGGGTCTCCATGGGACTCTGGGCCTGTCAGGATCTGGTGTAGACACAAGACAGGAAGCCCGAGTCCACCCGTCCCATCTGCAATGGGGTCTTCAGCCACTGCCTCTTAGGTTGTGGCTGGCAGTGACCTCACAGGGTGGTCTTCTAGGTGGGCGCCCCTGTGCCAGGGTCTGGTTGTAGCCTTGACTCTGGCCCCAGCGATGAGGCGGAGCAGGTGTGGGTGTGGGAGTATGAGACAGAGGAGGGCGCACACGACCTGTACATGGACACAGGCGAGGAGATCCGCTTCCGGGTGGTGGACGAGAGCTTCGTGGACACCTCACCCACAGGGCCCAGGTCAGCTGAGGCTGCCACCAGCGAGGAGCAGCCCAGGAAGGAGGCACCGTACTCGCTCGTGGTGAGTGGCTCCTGGCAGCCTGCAAGCGGGGAAGGCGCCTGCCATCTCAGCCCACGTCCCCATGTGTGGTTCTGGCCTGCTGCTGAGGCCAGGAGTGCTACGGCGTCTACAAGGTGGGACCACAGGGTGATACCACGGATATCTGCAGGGCAGAGCCCATGCCAAATCAAGTCCCCAGGGGCCTTAGCACTTTTCTGGTGGTACTAGGGATTGAACTTAGGGCATCTGCACTCAGCTACGTTGCCAGCCCTTCTCTACTGTTACTCTGAAACTGAGTCTTACCATGTAGGTCAGGCTGGCCTCAAGCTTGCAGCGATCCTCCTGCCTCAGCCTCGCAGTGTAAACATGGGTGTTCTCTCCCTGGCAGGGATCCATCATTGAGCCTGGGCTGGGCCTCCTCTCCTGGTGGACCAACAGCTAGCCTGCCCGGGCTCCACAGTGACCCTGCCCCTGGCCACGGGAACCAGCAGCTGAGCAGCTGCTGACAACTCTGCGCCCCCTTGAGCTGGCCTGGGCAGAGGCCAGGAGGAGCGCCACCAGCTGGCCCACCCCTCCGGTCTCTGATCCTCCCAGGTCAGTGCCTTGGAATCCTGCTGTACCCACGGACTTTAGTTTTGCAGCTCTGGGACTGAACCCCGGCACTTGCATGTTCTCAGCACATGCTCTATCCCTGAGCTACTTCCCAACATTTTTTGAGACAGTCTGAGTAAATACCCAAGATAGCCTCAACATGAGATGCTCCTGCCTCAGCCTCCTGAACAGCTGGGATTACAGGCATGTGTCAAATAGGGACATTTAATAAACAATAGCAACATCAGCAAGGAGGCCACACTCTTGTCTCAACAGCCAATATCATGATCTGAGGTCACTAAAGGAATTGCCATGCTGGTCCATGTGACTTTCGGAGATGACTGTCAACCCCCCAAAGTGTAGAATCCAGGGGTGCAAGATTCAGGCTGGGCTTTGGGCTGGCTGAGCTCACTGCTCCTGGCCCTGCTGGGTGCCCACCGGCCGAAACACGACGAGCATTTTAAGTCAGCCAAGCCCACTGTGGACCTGAGGGCGAGGTTCACTGGCCCCAAGGCCGTGTCCAAGCCTAGAGTGCAGCAGGAGCCACTTGGAGCCCATCCCAGCGCCAGGGGCAGGAGGTAGCGGCTCCTTCCCACAGGGAAGCCATAGGGACACACGTGGGGCTGCTGCCTGTGCAGGCAGATTAGGGCCACAGGTGACAGACTTGCTGCAGTGACGTTCCCTGAACCCTGGAGTTGATAACAAACAGCACAGACACCAACCACTCTTACAGCAGCAGTCGATGTTATTTTTCTTGCAAGAACAAAAGGTTCTCTGAGCTCCTTCAGCCACCAGTCCAACGTTCAGGCAGAATAAAATCTTCTGTAGGGGGAGTGTCACCAAAAATAAATACAGTTGCACAGGACCGCCCAAGATGGAACCAAACAAGGCAGGACAGCAGGGGCTGCACCTCGGTGGCTGGTGCGGACAGGAGGGCAGGAAGCAGGGCTGGTGGCGCTGTCTAGGAGCAGGAAGCCCGGTGAACAGCGTGGCCTGGCACCGCTCTGACCGGCTGAGCTATTGGTGGCAGTGGCGGCTGGGCGGGCAGCACCCTCACTGCTGCAGCTCCTTCATCCTGTTCAGGGCGCTGCCCGCGCGGAACCACTCTATCTGGGTCTCGTTGAAGGTGTGGTTCAGCAGGATGGTCTCCTGTGTTCCGTTGGGGTGCTTGATGACGCACGTCAGGGGCTACAGGGGAAGGCGGGAGTGGGTGGGGATCTGCAGTGCAGCTCTGCCCTGGCTCTCCACGGCACCATCTAGGGGCAGCTGCCCTTGCCCACCCGGCAGGGAGGCCCTGGCCAGTCCACCCTCTTTCCGGACCCCTGACCTTGCCGGGGGCGAAGTCCTTGAGGCCCTGAATGGTCAGCTTGTCCACGGGGTGGATCTTGTTGTAGTCGGCAGGGTCAGCGAAGGTGAGGGGCAGTAGGCCCTGCTTCTTCAAGTTGGTTTCTGAAGGGCAGAGGGTCACTCAGTCAACAGGGTGTTGGGGGCTGGTGAGATGGCTCAGTGGTCTAAAGCACCTCCTTAGAACAAGCTTAGCAAAGCACAAGGACCGGGGTTCAATCCCCAGCACCACATGCCAGCCAGCCCCGCCCCCTGGTGGGCTGAGCTGGCCACACAAATAAATAAATAAAAGAAAAAAGCTTTTAAAAAAAAAAAAAAAACAGGGTGGCACAAGCCTCCCCTGCACAGGGAGCTGCCCTCCCTGGTTGGTGGGGCCTCTGCTGGGGACCAGCAGTGGCTCTTGAGCCCCAGGGTCATCAGCACAGCTGTGTGGGGTGTAGGCACTTGGGCCTTGTAGGTACACAGGGCAACAAGGGGACAGTTCTGACCACACAGCCTGGGTCTTAGTGGCACAGGTCTGAGTTTTGAGCAGCAGTGCAGCTGGGATGTCCTGAGCATCAGAAACTGGTAAAGAAGCCACAGTGCTTATGCCTCGCTGCAGCCAAAACCCAGGAGCCAGGGCCAGCCAGATAGCTCAGCAGGTTAAAGCGCCTGCTTAGGCAGACGCAGGGACCAGAGTTTGATCCCTGGCATGCCGTGCTGGCCCCATCCCTGAGATGGCAACTGAGATTGGATGTGGTGGTGCATGCCTGTAATCTCAGGGCTTGGGAGGCTGAACACAGGAGGATCACTCTGAGTCTGATCTCTGTAGTGAGCCCCTGTAGACCTTGTACTAAACACACATACACACACACACACACACACACACACACACCACGAGCCAGACACAGGTTCTAGGCCTCGGTTGTGGCAGGGCAGCTGACCCTGGGCTGCAAGTGAAGGGCAGTGGACAGACACAGTGGGGCGGGCTTGGCTCACCATGGATCCTGGCGAAGCTCTTGGTGATGATGGCCCGGCCCCCAAGATGGCGCGGCTCCAAGGCCGCATGCTCCCGGCTCGAGCCCTCACCATAGTTCTCGTCTCCGACCACTACCCACCGGATGCCGTGTTTCTGTGATAAGCAGGGACAAGGTCACAAGGCTGAGGGCATCATGCTCACCTGCCCAGTACTCACCTACCTGGCTCCTGGCAGCCAAAGTCGGGTAAATCAGGCCCAACTGGGCCCTGTGGGAGTAAGGGCGGACTGGATGTGGCCCCAGATGCCAGTCTGTATGACCACTGCAGGGGGTGCAGACCACTGGGGGGCAGACCGGTGGGAGACACTGCAGGGCCCTCAACTGTGAATGGTGTCACCTGAGGGTGGCCCTGACCCCACCCTGCCCATCCCTCTTGCTCCTGGGCCAGATGTCTGTCTTTGGGGCCTCCTGCCTGCTCATCGCCTATGAGTCTCTCCAGGTCTCTCCTCAGGTCCAGGAGGGGCACCCTCACCCTGACTGCCTGCAGGACCCCTGGTTCCTACTCCTGCCATCCTTGGACTCTGAGGGAGTGGCTGCCAGCACCACCCAGACTCTGGCCTACCTTGTAGTAGCGGGCAGTGTCAGGGACAGGGCCGAACTCCTGCGTGACGGCATTGCGCACCGAATTGGCCTTGCCATTTTCAATGTTGATGGCACCAATGAGCAGATTGTTGGAGATGTTGTCCAGGTGCCCCCGGAATTTGAGCCAGGGTCCCGCGGCTGAGATGTGGTCGGTGGTGCATTTCCCTTTGACCTGACGGGGCGGGCAGAGGACAGTGGTTAGGACGTGGCCAGGAGGAGCAGGTGGCCTCATGCTGGGACCTGGGGGTGGGGGTGGTAAGGAAGGAAACACATCAGACTCTGGACACAGCCTGCAGTCCAAAGGCTCAGGGAGAAGCTGTGAGCTGCTCTGTCTGCAGGACAGGATGGGCTGCTCAAAGGGCACAGGGAGGACAGGTACACATGCAGACTGGGCCCTCAACTGAGAGCCATGCAGCATGGGGCATGAGGTCTCATGTGGGGCAGAGGGAGCTGAGGACACAGCTGGGTCCTGCTGATGGCTAACAGTCTCATGCTGCTTAGGTTTAACCCAGGCTGTGTCACAGGAGAGGTTGTGTGGCAAGATTTGAGGAGCCCTCACTCAAACACAGGCCGTCGCACCCACGAGTGCTGCCAGGCCAGGGAAGAAACACTGCCTAGAGCCTGCCTGGCTACAGCACAGTTACAGGAACCAGGGGGCCTGCCGGTTACTCAGCTATTTAAGCACCTACTCATGCAAACACAGTCAGGCACAGGGAAACATGGTTCGACCCCCAGCTCCACATGCCTCATCAGACCCGCCATTAAGGCAGCCTGAACCAGCCAAAAAAGAAAATCCTCCTCGGTTACAGGAACCAGGCAAGCCTTGTGCAGCCCGCTCGCATGTCAGGCCAACTGCCCTCACAGCAAGCTGAAAGCCCAGATCCAGCAGGACCTGGCCCTTCACTGTGACACGGCCTGCTCTTGCTGGGGAGCAGAGTGCCCAGCAGGCCAGGCTGACCTTGATGAGGATCTGCAGGTCTTCTAGGTCTTTGCCGTCCCACTTGTCAAAAGGCTCCAGGAGCTGTAGGCGCTGGCTGGTGGGGCTCACGTCTACCCGCTGTCCACTGCTGTCCTTTGGGGGATGCTGGTAGGTGTCCTGCCCTGGGTCAAACTCCTACAGCAGGGGATAAGTGATGGGGACAGGCCAGGTGCCCAAGTCCACAGTCCCCACCCAAATGGCTCCAAGGAAGGGAAGCTCCCCACGCCCCAAGGGCCCTTTTTCAAGGAATAGCAATTGTGGACAGTGGCACCCCTGCCCCCCAGAGCCAGTGCAGAGGCACAGGTGTGGGCAGGCCCAGCTCACCGCTCGGGGCAGCTCATCTGCATCTGGAGCCTCCAGCTTGAACTTCTTCCCATCCTTGCCTGTCAGGAAGTCGGTTTCTGGGTTGAATTTGAGGGTTCCTGCGATGGCCAGGGCTGTGACGATCTGAACAGAGGTGGTCAATTTATGCCGGCTGGCACCCAACAGCCCACCTGCCCTCCCACACAAAGCCTAGGAGATACTCCTGCTGCCCCTGCCCTGCTTAGGACAGGAAGTCAGGGACCTCAGGGCCACTGCAGCATCTCCCCTGAGGGTGGGCTGGCACTAACTCTTGTCCCCAGAAAAGAAGTGGTTATGACAGGAGCATCCCTGCTGGGCAGTGCAGAGAGGAGGAAAAAGCACAGGGGTCTCTGGAACATACACTGTTACAATGCAGGGGACAGAAGGCAGGAAAGCCACCAGAGCCCCAAAGCACTTTAGCTCACTCTGCCCACAGTGATGGCAGGCCCAACTTTCATTCAACTCAGGAAAGAGCTGGGTTAGGCTGGGCTGGCATGTAACCCTAAGTTACTTGGGAAGCTGAGGCCAAAGAGGGTTTTTGGGGTTTTGTTTGTTTGTTTTGTTTTTTTGGCAGAACCATAATGTTGATTAAAAAAAAAAAACAAAACACAAAAAAACCATGAAGATGGGAGTATTGGGACAGACAGGCCTGTAAACTCATAATCTCAGGACTCTGAGAGGTTGAGGCAGGAGGAAGGTGAGTTTGATCTCAGCCTGGACAGTTTAGCTACCTTGTCTCAAAAAACTGACTGGAGTTGAAGCTCAGTGCAAAGATCCTGTGTTCAACCTACAATGTGCTGGGGAGAAAAGAACAGCTTGGTGGTCGGCAACTGTAATCCCGGCACTTGGAGGCTGAAGCAGGAAGATCACTACAAATTCAAGCCAGCCTGGACTACAGAGCAAGACCTTGTCTCAAAAAAAAAGGAAGAACACAACAGCGAATAAGCCAGCATCCCATAGACACATAACTCTCCTGCTGGACCCATGAAACTCAGGGTCAGGATGTGGCCAAGCTCATGCAGCTGGTCAGAGTAGAGAAAGACTGTCATACCCACTAATGGCTCAACAAACAGCTGAGGGCCTGGTGACACAAGATTGCCCGGCCCTCCAAGGCTGCACACAAGCTTGCACTCCTCTGACGCCCAGGAGCATGACTTCAGGAGTCCCTGACTGCCTAGCCAGGTGGCCTTACCTCTGGGGACGTAACAAAGGCATGGGTCTCTGGATTTGCATCATTGCGGCCTGTGAAGTTCCTGTTGTAGGAGGTGACGATGGTGTTCTTCTCCCCCTTCTTGATATCCTTCCTGTCAGGCCAGAGGGACAAGATTAGGGACAGCCACCCTAGTTACCTGACCTGTCCC